ATTGAAAGAGAAAAATTCAGAAATAATTAAGACAAAAATCTTTGATCTTGTTTACAATCAAATCCTTGAATAAAAAATCAAGGATAAGAAATTAATTGATCTGGTATTTCAATATTTCTATGAAAATCCCAGCAACTATTTCAGTTACATTATCAAGAAGAAAAACCAATTGTAAATTACCTCCAAAACAAGATGTGTTATTCCTGTGGGATTAAAGGGCACATAAAAAGAAATTGCAACTTACAAGGGCTAACTGAGGAGGAAGAGATAGAATTTGTCTTCCAGAAATTAGTAAAGAAAGAAGAAGAACAATTAATTAAAGAAGAATTAGTTTCTCCAAAAGAGGTACCTTTGGAAGATATCCCTGACGAAGTACCTTACAACAAAGATCCTTATGAGGATTAATTGAATGAACATAGATCCTAGTTAAGAAACCATCCAAATCATCTGGGAAAACACAAGGATCCATAACCAAGTACGTCAACAATACCCACACATCAGAGATATATCACAAGCACATAGTGATATATCTTGCTCAATTTGTCACCTATAAATCGGAATTTTTCCTAATCTTTTGGGATTGGATACAAGAAACACATCAAGCGATAGAGTGCACTTCAGAAACTGTAACCACTTTTGAACAAATATTATTAGAACAAGGTCCAGTTTGACTAATACAACTTGTCAGAGTATTATTAATTAGTATTAGATACAGAGTACACCCGAGAAGTTTAAATACAATAGTTCAGGATTACTTTTTAGCAGCTAGAGGAACTCATTACTTTAGGATAGCCTTGAACGAAGCACCCCGGAACCCATAACTGAAGAAGAAGAAGAAGACAATCCTAGTGAAAGTAGTGACTCAACAATATTTAGTGATTCAAACTCAGATAGTGATTCAGACAGTAACTCAAACGAATCAACATTTGGTTTCGACCAACTTTTTAATCAACCTAAATGCAATCCATCCACCAGCAACGGCAGCACCTGCCGAATTAAATAATGTTAAGTACCCAGAATACTATGGAGGAGATCAGGACCCAATCACATGATTGGAAGAAATGGAAAAGGCCATTGTAACGAATAGAGTAGCAAATAATAGAAGACTAGCAATGACAGTACCAAGATTAAAAGGAGAAGCAACATGGTGGACTCAAGTCAGGGGAAATATAGACCGGTAGGATGATAACACTAATAATAATACAATAGCAGCAAGCTTTGTTCCGAACTTTCAAAAGGAGATATAAGTCAAAAGCAATGGAAGAAGGGTGGGTAGCAGAATTGGGAAAACGTAAACAACAACTACCTGGAGAAACAGTGGGTGCTTTCGCAGCACATATATATGAATTGTTCAGGAGAATTGAACATGGGGGAAACAACTATCCAGATAGAGTCAAAGCGAGAATGTTCATGGAAAGGTTACAACCAGAATTGTCCGTGGTAGTAAGTCTATTCTTACCTGACAATATCCAGGATGCAATTGAAAGAGTTAAGGCTTATGAGGTGACTTACTCTAGAGGAGGAACCTTGTCGGCATATTCAGTCGAACAATTCATGCCTAAGATTCCAGGAATGAATCAGGGGGTAAACCAACCACTACAAGGGTTAATCGACCAACTGATTAACCTGATGAAGGGAAATAATAATGTTCAGCAAAGGCCAAGGATTCAAAATGGTGAAAACTGTTCACCGTTAACATGCTAAAACGATCTCGATAGAGCTGATTTCCAAAAAGAATTAAGCTTCCGAAGTCAAAAACCATAGGTTTCTTTGAGAGGCCGTTACTCCATAATCGGAAGAGCTACAGGTGCATAAAGCTCGTGATTTAAAGGTCAAAGGCAAGTGATTGTTTTTACTTAGAGGCGCGAAAATTGTTTAATAATGAGTTTACGTTCAATTCATTCGCCAAAGTCCATTGTACAGAAAACGTGCCATTTAGATCATGGAATAATATATGGATTAGAGTTTCCTTCTGAAACTCATCAGTTTAGAATTATTCGAAATTAAAACCATTATAAACTGGTTTAGAAAATGAGCCTGAATTCCTAAACTCCTAAACTTGCTTATTATTACTATCACTCATTATTAATAAATAAAGGTTTTAAAAAATAATAATTTTTTACATAATTTGGTGGAGGTGAAATTTCAGGAGTTGCATCAAAATCAAATACTTCTGGATACCACAAGTCACAAAAGTCTTTAAAATTGAATGATCAATAATTCCTGCTGCACATTTTTTAATAATATCTCATCTTTATCCCAAAAATTAGCAAGTGATTGTGTATTTGCTTTATATGCTGCATTTTCCAAAGATTCACTTACACCATCTCTTTCTGCAACAATATACATATATCTTTTTTTGATATATTCACATTCATGTGCTAAATGGACTTGCAGTTTATTAACAACTCCATTACTCCATTTACAATTACATGTTTTGCATTTGGCTCCAAATATCCTGGATGTTTTGAAGGATAACATTCAAAATGTTTCCAAACTGCATTTTTTGGTTGTCCATCATGATTTTTTGAACTATTTATATCTACATCAATATTGTGATTAAAAAAAATTTATATATATTTTTAAGAAAAAGAAAAATTATATTAGAACAAATAAAAAAATTATTATATTTTTGTTGATTTAAACTAAACCAATAATTTAATTAATTGTCAGAACAATAATATCAAAATGAAATGAACTTTTGATGAAATCATTCACTTGAAGAGAAAATGATTTTGATAATTAGTAATTTTATGGATCGCGGAAAATTAAATCGGGAGATGATTTACGAAAGTTGCACAAAAAGAAAATCGGAAAATTTCATTAATTCACGGAAAATACCTGGAGTTTCGAAAATAGTTTAGGAGTTTCGGGTTAGTTTCGAAAGTAGTTTAGGGTTTCTAAACTAGTTTAGAAAAGAGGTTAAAGTTTAGAAAAGCAGCTCTAATATAGATATAAAAAATATATATAAAAAACTTTTTAAAGTTTTTTTTTTGATATACAGTATACTATAATAATAAATCAATATAAATCATATGATGTGAGACATCCCCATAGTCCCGTGCATTCGTTGAAACAAAGGTAGACTGTGTGAATATCGCCCCTTTTTAATCATTGATCGGTGGACCAGAAAATTGGGAGTCTTGGCTGTTATAACATAATACGCCCATCATTAAGGCGTGTTTCGAAAATAGCTTGGTTTTGTGATAAATCAATCCCCAAGTTTTTGGTCCAAAATCAAGTTTTGGAGTTAGTATTAATATTGGATCCTTTTCTATTTTCTGCACCTTATATATGGTTTATCTAATATTTTATCGATCATATGGTCATACAAAAAAAAACTAATTTATTTCTATAGATAGTAATTTGTTTTTTTTTTAAAAAAAATATATATGCACATTACTGTAGCTCCGGAATTTTGGGAGAAATTTCCCGAATTAAAAAAATTATCCAATTTCGAAAAACTTTGGGGTGATTAATTACCCAAATATAAATGAGGGGACATCCCACTTTAAAAAGAAAACACAAAATCAAAAAATCAATAAACATCTTCTTACATTGAACTTTATCTATACATAAGGACATATAAGCCTATACAATGTAAACTTCGAGTCAGTAAACTGCCTTTGTTGCGTTTCCGTAATTATAAAATTGCTACGAGCACGTTTAATACTCACGGAATTTGTAAATATTGCATGTGACATTTTAGTGAACTTTTATAAAACCATGTCTTACGTCTTGGTGGTTTTCGCATAAACATTTTGAATGAGATTCATCCACAATATTACAATTTTCTTATAGATCTGGGCATGGATAAACGATGCCGCTTTTACACTTGTTTGCTTTATCATGAATATAATAATACCTTATTCCTTTGGATTCTATCATTTACATTACTAGATGTTGGTCAACAATAACCATAACCTATTCCATCCACTAGGATACAATGACTCGTTCATGTGTCTTTTTAAGGCAATTAACGCCAGTTCAAGAATTCTTCTGTGAACTCATTCCAAAATGGCACGTTGAAAGTGATGGTTATTCACAAGGATTTCATATATTTTGGGATCGCGACTCATACTTTACGACAAACTTTTGCTTAGATAAATCAGAAAAGTTGAATTGATTTTTGAATTGAACAGATTTATCCATTATTTCCTATTTGAAGTTTTTTAGTTGATATATTCGGCAAGTGCAAAATGGGGGATAAATAAAAAACCCCCTTATTTATTAGAGTTCAAGTTTGTTTTCTTGGGAGGGCCAAAAAAACATTCTAAAATCTGAGTTACAATATTTTTTGGGAATTGATTGGTTAGAGCAAGATTTTTCCGTTTGTTTTTTTCAGAAAAATTATTTAAAATTAGTCTTAAAGGGAAAAATTACTTCTAAAAAAAAATCTTAATATTATTCTTCAAATAGCCTTTTTTCTCTTCTTTTCAGATTTATTTTCCATTTTTGAGCAAAGATTTACTTTTATTTGTTTGCTTTTTTTTTATATGGTGCATTATTTAAATAAATAAATAATTTATGTATGATAATAAATATATATTTAAGGATATATGAATTTAAAATTTTAAAAATT